CAATGATGCAGGAGAAGGCAAGGTCCTGGTCAGAGGTCTTGACGGCAGTATAGGCAAAGAAGAAGGTCATTGTTAGCAGCGATCCGACAACCATGGTATACTTGCGACCGAAGATGCGCGTGTTACACATGAGGCCGGCGATAATGGGACCGGGGATGCCGCAAACGTTGGTGAGTGCATAGTTGCGCCAGGTCTCAAAAGTAGACCGTTGAAACTCGCCGCTTCGATTCTTTAGGTAGGTTCTGCTAGCAGGGTAAGCATTTATTGACGGATACAGTGGTAAGCGCAAGTACTCACGGCAAGAATACATAGAACAGAGGATAGGCAAGACCGATGAGCATCCAGGAAAGCCAGATCAGGCTAGTCGACATGGCAATCTTCTTGGTGCAAAAGAGGCCACGGAAGTGAACAAGCGTTTCGCCAATAGAGAATCTACTCTTGCTGTGAGAAGATCGAATGGAGCCGCAAGCCTCGAGCCTCTGCAGTGTGAGCGAGCAGGGTCGGTTGTACTTTTTCGCCAGTGCCTGAATGTTTTTGACCAAGAGCGCATCCTCACCAGAGCTCAAAAGGTACTTGGGCGTTTCCTTGAGGCGGATAATAAAGATGCGCAGGACAGACATGGTAAGCACCAGCGCTCCGCCGGTAAACATGGCATACCGCCAGCCCCAGTTGTCTGCCTTGCGACATGGTCCGTCTTCGAGGCAGTTCCATTTTGCAGGGACGAGGAAACCCCAGGCGATGAAGCCGCAGATGGCCTGCCCGAAGCCCCACCAGGCGGCCATGAAGGTGACGAGCCACTGCTTGTTGCCGGGGAGGTATTCCAGGAAGACGGTCGTGTCCATGACAAGGTTGCCTCCGCCGCCGAAACCGAGCAGGGCGATGAAGAAAGCGAGGCTGGCCCAGCTGGGCATGGCGCCGGCGACGATGCAGGCAACAGAGCAGATGAAGAGGGAGATGTTGAAGGCGTATTTGCGGCCGATTACGTCGGCGCTGAAACCCCAGAAGATGGCACCTGTAAACATGCCAGAGTAGACGGCGATGGTGAGGGCGTTTTTGTAGCCATGAGAGCCAAATTCCTTGTAGGCGGGGCTCGAGATGACGGACTGGAAGAGCAGAATCATAGAGTCGACGCAGTAACCAAAACCGTTGAGGAAGAAGAGTTTGAGGTGATAATTGGTCCATCCAATCTCGTCAATTGCCTGTGAAAAGGTCAGTTTTCTACTATTTCTTTGCTTCTTGTTTCATTGCACAGCCAATTAATCGCCTGACCACCCGAGCGCCAGATAAAGAGTGACTCACGTTATTGACAAGATGCATCTTCTGATTCAGCGCCGGGTCCATATCCTGCATGCCGAGGATGTCGTCGCCGCTGTGAATGGAACCCGGCTCGTCAAAGAGGTGGCCATCTTCGCCGCTGGCAATCTTCTTGTCCAGACCGGCGGGAGTGGTCTCTCTGTACGCAGGAAGCTGCGCCATGGTGAAGGGCGGGAAGTGCGCGGCACTTCTCTGTATTATGATATTATGATCGTTGTAGCGCAGATTGAACCGCCGTTTGACTCGTTATATTCAGGGTTTCGCGCCTAGATCTCTGGATCCACGTGGGGAAGTTGGACGCTGCTAGGGAACGGTCAAGCTACCGTGACACTCTATTGCGCGTGTAAGAGGATGCTGTCGGTGGTATGTAAGATTTCAAGGCCGATAGTTGCAATCGATGCGCGAAGCAAAGAGGATTACAGCGAGTGTTCGAAAGGAAACGGGGGAGAGCTCGGGATGTAAAAATCGGTCAAGGGCGCAAAGGTACTTGGGGTTTAGCTCGCAACCAGTAGACACAACGTCTACATCAGATGTGGCGTAGCTCTCAGAGGGAAGCGAAATAGGATCTAGGAACAAGAGCAAAGGTCAATGGCACCCAATATAAGTCAATGGACTCAGGAAAGCGGTAAAGGGACAGAGGACAGGTCGACGGCAATGATGAACGTGGCGCGGCGGGGGGCTTTTTAGGTATTTCAAGGATTTGGGGAGCTTTTTGGGGGGGCGCCGCAAGATGGGATTGCCAGCCGTTGCCAGCCAAGAAGATCGCGCTGTCCGCAGCTGCGTGCGGGCGGGCGGGCTGGCTTGGCTGGATGACGCTAAAAAGCATCAAGAAGTTGGGCAAACTGGAGATGAAACATGGGCCTCTATAATAAGAGAGAAAAACGAGGGAAACACCGGCTGAGGCCTAGCTCGGCAGCAGTGGCGTTTGTTGTTGGCTGCTGGCTGCCAACCTGCAAGCTAGCGACTTGGCCTACCTACCTGGGCGCTGGGGTGTAGGGTGTCACAGATGTGCTGGCTAGATCATCTCGGCGGGAGCGCTAGCCGTGCAGAATTGTGTGCACAGCCGTTATGGTAGGTATGCTGTGGGTGTTTATCCAGGCACCCAGGTTCTGGTTTGATTCCAGTAAAGAGGTGCCCCTCTGAGGCTTGACACTTGCGGTTTTTAAACCTATTATTTACTAGTTTAGTTAGTGATCACACTGACGGAACCCCCGTGCGGTCAGACAACTGTTGTGATAGGCCGCCGTCGCCCGTCAATATCCATTCATGGGCGGGTCGCAGAAATCCTGAATTGCGGCAACTTTCGACTAGTTAGGCCGCGCGAGGCACTCACCCACTTTCTTGGGGGTTTTCTGGGGGGCACTATCAGCGGAGGAGCCCGACGCCCTGCGCTTGTCCTCGTAGTGGTGGCCAACCATATGGGCTAGAAGCTCAATTATGCATGTGCTTCTCCCATCTTCACTGCTATTTAATTAGTTATAGTTCAACATGCTTGGGATTGGCAGACTCTCCGGCCCAGACACGTGGGCGTCGCAGAGAGGTCTTGCTGCGCGGCACGGCAAACGCCCAAGCACTCATTGGGCAAGGCTGAGAGAGCCATCTCGCGAGCCAACGGATTCCCCGACATATCGCCATATGGCTGTTGCTGCTAGTACCTGATTGTTAGTGAGGGCTTATTATTTAACCATGTATCCGCGGTCAAACTCAAGTCAACGGCCACCGCCGACCGCAGCTAACAGTTATTGCCCTCCTAAGCCAGTACCTCGACGTCAGTGGCTGGCTGCCCAAGCCATCAGCACTCCCTCCCCCCGCGCTACCGCGTGGTGCCCTCGTACCCTGCACGATGAGTTTCATCTTCTCGCGCCATATGGGCTTGGGAAACGCGACGTAAAAGCGCTCAACTGCAGCCGCATTGCCGGCATATTGCTGCTGGGATGGCTCTTTGTTTTTTTCAAGTAACAAGCAAGGGTATGCGCTGATGCTATGTTGGTAGCTCGGTTCCAAGAGTTGAGTTGCACCAAGCGTGTCTCAATGGCCACACAATCGGCTGTCCCCATCCCGAGTCCCGACCTTAGGTCCTTTACTCCTAACCGCGTGGCAGATCATGACCTGCCGTTGCAAACAAAGTCGACGGAAATTTCTTCTTTTTCTCAGATAACTTAATGTTCCTACTTGGCGTGGATGTCATATCTCCTGCACATACGCAAACTCCAAGCTACCATTATGTTCTCGTCCATCAATTCAGCTACGATGAACAGTAACCGCCTCGGTCCGGCTCATCTATAAGTGTACCAGCTGCCTAGCCATCTAAACTTTTGCGCCATATTCTCAATCTTTCCCAGCGCGCTGTTCACGCGTCCATCCGGGTCGTCCAACTTGTGGCCCTCAAATTCCACAAAGATAATGTACTGAAATGGGCCTAGTAGGCTCGGCCTACTGTTGATACTCGTGAGATCTAGCTGGAATTCGCGAAAGCAGCCCAGTATGTCGGCGAGCGCCCCGGGGCTCTTGTGCGGCACCGTAAACGTAACGAGAGACTTGGTACCGGTCCGCCGCGCCGGGTCCTGCCGGAGCGGGTACTCCCGCGGCAGCGTGGGCTGCGTGCCGATAATGAGGAAGCGCGTCGTGTTGTCGTCGCGGTCCTCGATAGACGCTGCCAGCGTGTCGAGCCCGCACAGCTCGGCGGCGAGCTTGCTGGAGATGGCGGCCGACGCGCCGCTGTTGTCGGCGGCCACGAGCTCGGCGGCTTTGCTAGTCGAGCTGACGTCACACTTTTCCGCGTTTTTGAGATATGTCGAGATGAACTTGGTACATTGGCCGAAAGCTTGCGGGTGCGAATATAGCTTCTTGACATGGTCTAGATTCTCCAATGGCTTGCTCTTGGGCTTGGACGGCGTCGGATCGGCTGCCGTTGGCGTAGAGGTGCCGCTTACGCCGTGGCCGGCAGCATTGGCCTTCTTGTGGCCTAGCAATTGGTGATGGACGTCAACGTAAATCTCGCCGTTTACATATAAGTCCTTGTAACGTCCATCTCTGTCCGCCAGGTCGTCTAGCGTAAAGACGACAGAACCGTTGGTTGAGTTTTCAATTGGTACGATGCCAAGAAGGACATGTTTGTCTTGAGTCTCATCGCAAACATCTAATCATGACATTAATGTCAGTAGCTGCTCTTGTAATATGTGTACTTTGCAGACATAATAAGATTCAGCACCTACCATCGATAGTGGTGACAGGCTTCAGATACCATACATCTTCTGAAAAGGCTTGCAGCGCTGCCTGTGTGGCGTGTGGACATCAGTACGACACGTATCCAAATCCATGTTTAAATACTCTTACCTGTTGGGAATACGATGCAATGGGCCCCAGATACGCCGCTATGGGCTTGCTGTCTGAGGATGACATGCTTGGCAGTTCTGTTTCAGCGGAACGCTGTCTCAAGGCTGACTGCGTGGTGCTTTCAGTGCCCCTCCTTCTCCGAAGCTCGGACACGCTGTTGAAGGTTTGCAACGCTTACAAGGCCACAGCTCGTGCAGAGATTTGCAGCGTAATATAATTAGTTAGCTCCGCACGCCGAAACCAGTAGAATTTGATGCGGAACGAAGAAGCACTGGTTGGCAAAAAATTGAAAATAAGCTGAAATGAACAGACCGGATCGAAAGCTGCTCTCGCAAACTGTAAAAAGAGAAAGGTCACGGTGGGGATCGAACCCACAATCTTCTGGTTCGTAGCCAGACGCCTTGCCATTTGGCCACGCGACCCATGTTATTAGTGATGAAACGGCTCTTATTATCAATTAATAGCCCTAGACGTCTCTGCTGGCCGCAAAAACAAAAGACAACCTTCGACAACGGCAAAAAGAGAGGTCACGGTGGGGATCGAACCCACAATCTTCTGGTTCGTAGCCAGACGCCTTGCCATTTGGCCACGCGACCAGACGCTCTAGGATGCGGTTTTGTCAGCTATTAGGTACTATCAACACAATGCCCGTGCAACCCTGGGTGGATTCTTACGACGGCGTAGGTAGGTAGCGTCATAACGTAGGAGCTCGCAGCTCTGGGTCGCGCGTACATCAACCGCTCAAGTTGTCACTGCCACCATAATTGCAGACTAAGCCTCCACGCCTGGATTATGCGGATACGCGAGTAGCCATGGCCCTCGATCTCATTGACGGCTTCAACCCAACCCACCAGCTGGAGGCCAACGGTCATGATCTACCCATCTTTACTGTGGAGGCGGCGCAGCTCGGCTTCTCAGTAACAGCCGACTTTGTCGCCGCCCAAGTCGCCAACGATGTCATGATTCTGGCTCTATCAAACGGACGAATACTGCGTATAGACCTCAACAGACCGGAGGATATCGATGGTGCGTATGGCAACCGATCGCGATTCGCTTCGCTCCCTAACTCGTTCTTGAGCAGACATCGACCTCCCCAAGAAGACATCCGAAGTTGGCGTAATTTGTCGCATGTTCCTTGACCCCACAGCATCCCATCTCATCATACGTACATCCCTCGGCGAAAACTACTATCTGCACTCGCAATCGCGACTGCCTCGGCCATTAGGAAGACTTCGTGGTGTCCCCATCGAAAGCGTGGCATGGAATCCTGCTCTGCCCACTGCATCTACCCGTGAAATCATTGTGGGCGCATCTGACGGCAACATTTACGAAACGTTCATTGAAGTATCCAACGAGTTCTACAAAAAGGAAGTCAAACATCTGAAGAACCTCCACAAACTCCCAGACGGACCTATTACAGGCCTCTGGGTCGATAATCTCGACGGACGATCGGACTTGCGCAGAATTATAATCGCCACGCAGAGCCGTCTCTTTCACCTCGTCGGAAAGACGGGGACTAGCAGCGATGGCAGCGGATCCGTATACTCGCGTCTTTTTGAGTCGGAACACCCGATTATTCACGAAATTTCTCGTAATGCGGCGGCGGCACATTCCTCATTAGCTGTGTCACCTGATCCGAGAGAGACTGAGCCATACCAAGATCAGCAGCCAGAGAAGGCGTACGCTTGGCTCACATCCCAAGGCATCTTCCACGGAACGTTGCTGCAATCGCCGGCTGAGCAGACCCTTGGCTCGAAAGTCTTTGCAGAATCCAAGACGCTAGCGCGCTCCCAGATTTTCTCGGACGCATCAGGGAAAAGAAAGTCTGGGCCGGATAACATTGATGCCATGGCTTTGACGCAATGGCATATCATATGCTTGCTAGGAGGTCGAGTGGTCACTATCAATCGTCTTACAGGCCAGACAATATCTGAACATGATGTTCTGAAAAGCGGCCAAAAAGCGATTGGCTTTGCGGTCGATATGCAAAAGTACACCTTTTGGCTGTTCACCGGCCAAGAGGTCTTTGAAATCGTGCCCAACGACGAAGATCGCAACATCTGGCAGATTTTGATGGACTCGCAGAATTTTGAAGCGGCACTCCAACAAGCCCGGGGCCAAGACCAGAAAGAGACTGTTTCTGCGGCTTATGGCGATTATATGGCTAAGAAAGGAAGCTGGAAAGAGGCGGCAGCATTGTACGGAAACAGTAATAAGCCTTTCGAAGACGTGGCCCTTCGAATGATTGACAGTGGTCAGCATGACGCTCTGCGCAGTTTTCTTGTGACCAAGCTGGCTGCCACCAAACGAACAGCAACCATGCAAAGAATGATGATTGCTAGCTGGCTCATTGAGATATTCATGGCCAAGCTCAACTCGCTTGACGACACCATTGGCACGCGGGCAGAATTGTCCGAGTCGCTCAACGCTACTGAATCTCAAAAGCTCCTTCAACGCGTTAGAAAACAATTCCAGGAATTTGTCGTACGCTATAAAAACGATCTGGATAAGAAGACTGTTTATGATATCATCAGCAGCCACGGGCGCGAGGAGGAGCTTTTATTTTATGCCAACTCAGCCAATGACTACCAATATGTGCTCTCGTACTGGGTGCAGCGGGAGAATTGGGCCAAGGTCCTAGACGTGCTGAAGAGGCAGACAGACCCAGAAGTCTTTCACCGTTACAGCACTGTTCTCATGACACACGCGCCGCAGGAGACGGTCGAAATCTTGATGCGGCATGCGGATCTCAAGCCAAGAAGCTTAATACCAGCCTTGCTGGAGTACAGCCGCTCGAATCCCAATGAAGCGAACGCGAAAAATCAGGCAATCCGGTATTTGAACTATGCGATTCATCAACTCAACTCGAAAGACTCTGCTATCCACAACACACTTGTATCCATATACGCGTCTAATCCGTCCAAGGACGAGTCTGGCTTACTTTCGTATCTTCAAGCACAGGGTGATGAGCCGCGATACGATCCAGATTTTGCTCTACGACAATGCATTCAGCACCATCGAACCCTTTCCTGCGTCCACATATACACCAGCATGGGCCAGTATTTGCAGGCGGTGGACTTGGCTCTTTCGCACAACGAAGTAGAGCTGGCCGCTGTAATTGCAGACCGACCCATCACGAACCCGCAGCTTCGAAAGCGACTATGGCTTGCTGTTGCTCGCAAGGTCATTTCTCAGTCAGATGGTATCAAGTCCGCGATTGAATTTCTACGGCGCTGCGAGCTGCTCAAGATTGAGGATTTGATTCCCTTCTTTCCCGACTTTGTGGTGATTGACGACTTCCGAGAGGAGATTTGCGAGGCGTTGGAGGACTACAGCCGCAGTATCGATGATCTCAAGAAAGAAATGGACGAATCATCGCAGACGGCAGCCAACATCAAGATGGATATTGCGGCACTCGATCATCGTTATGCCATTGTAGAGCCTGGCGAAAAGTGCTATGTGTGTGGCTTGCCGCTGCTCAGCAGACAGTTTTTCGTCTTTCCCTGCCAGCACGCGTTTCACTCTGACTGCATGGGTCGCAAAGTCCTGGAGCAGGCCGGCGTGGGAAAGTCGGGGCGTATCAAGGAGCTGCAGCTGCAGATACATAGAGGTCTTGTCAGTGGCGCAAAGAGAGAGGCTGTCATCGCAGAGTTAGATTCTCTGGTCGCCTCAGCATGGTAAGCTCTTCCCCACCCCAGCGTGAGCCGAAAAGACGCTGAGCTAACATTATGCTACAGTATTCTCTGCAGTGATTTTGCAATCAAGCAAATCGACGAGCCCTTCATTGCAGAGGGAGAAACGAATGAATGGGTGGTGTGAAAGCGTAACTCCCCTTGTGAGATTCGAGATCTATTTACGAAGCGCTGGCGGTTGAGAGACCCAATGGACGTGTATGACTCTGGAGTGATTCTATCTGTTGATATGAGAAGCATTTTTAGCAGCCGAAAGCATACATAAATTATGCGAGAGGAGGCATTCTTGCCTGCTTATGGAACTAATAAATACATGTGGTCACATCGGACTTGGACTTGGTTATCATCAAGAGCGAAATGACAAAACCGTAGAGCCCCAGAACTTCTGAAAATATGAGAATCAGGACCATTCCCATGTACAGACGAGGCTGCTGGGAACTGGCACGGACTTTTGGTTAGGTCAGCTACGCATTTCATTATTTGCAGAATGCAGAACGAGCTTACCTCCGGCGTCGCCGACGATACCGATGGAAAAGCCGGCCGCCAAAGCACAAAGACCGACGGCGATGCCGCCGCCAAGCTGCAAAAAGGCAGTGTGAAGAGCCATCTTCTCGTTGAGGCTGGGTATCATGACGACACAGCAAACTAGGCCGTAGATGGACAAGATCTGAGCCATGACTGCACAGAGCCTAGCTTCTTTTTTTAGCAGTCTGTCTAGCAACTGACTCGAAGAAGTGATGACCAAACGAGGAGAGACGGGTGCGATATTCTTACGTGTTGGGCACGAGACGCTCAGGACGAAGGATACCAGATGAGAAGATGCCGGCAGCGGGTTTGGCCGTGCCGTATGCCGCACCGAATGTGGCGAAAACAATGGCAAAGGCGCATCCCATGGCGCCAAAGAAGCTCTGATACGCGTTACTATCGATGATTGCATGCCATCTCAATCAACTCCAATTTCTCTTACGGCGTAGGAAGGGCTTGCCAACAATCCGAGTTAGACAGGTTCAGGTACAGCCATAGGCTTTGGATATGCTTTGTTGATTACTTGATTACTTACCAGCGGTCCATGCTCGCGATTATTTCGTCATCCATTTTACTCTCTTTCAGATATCTGGCGAAAATCCAGAGCGATTTCCACGGGATACTATGCAGACTCAGCGTGCGAATCCAGATGTTGCAGGCGCAATGCCAGCTTTTATAGGCAAAGTGGGAGCATTCTGCGCCGACAGATTACCGTCTCTGCCAGTCACAGGAAGGATCTGCGCTTTGCGGCTGAAGTCGAGCAAAATGGAACAACATCTGGTAGGCAGCCAAATTCATCGTCGAGGCGCGCAGTCTTGGCACCGGCTAGTGACTGGATGGACACGCATCTGCCTGATTAGAGCCCAGTCGGGCGGCGTACGATCGGGCTAGGCAGCAAGCATCATTACCACATCCTGCAGAAGCACTTGGATAAGATGACGTAAAAAAGAGAACAACCAACTTCAGAAAATTTTCATCATTAGACGCCACAGCTGAAACTGTCACCCTCTTCTTGACTGGCTGCTTACAAGTGAGCAAGAAGCTGAAGACGGTAACTGGCTCGGTGGTTGAGTTGTTAAAAAGACTTGGACTATTTTATTTCAAGTTAACCGGTTCAGGCCGCGCAAGGGTTCAAGCTCACAGTCTTGTACACAGTCCTCGTCGATCCGGATTACCGATTTTTCCTTTGCTCGACGAGTCGCATG